TTTAAGATTTGGTTTTATTTCTTATTACCCTGCTCTGATTTAAATAATAAATTAAACTAATTGCCCCAAGTCGAGTCTGTTTTGCCCATGCCAGCAATTGGTGAGTGATCTCTCTCTGTCCTTGTCTCCACCCACGAGCCTTTTGTCATATCTTCTCCCCCTGCCCAGTTGAGGATGGGGAGTGATAGAGTGGGCTTTGGTGGGCATCTGCCATCCAGCCAGGGTCAGACCACCACAGCATAAAAACTACCCTTTTAAGACTACATTCAATTTGAGGACATAAAATGCACAAAGAGCAGTGTAACACCGTTTGGGCACAACCCTTGATTTCAGCAAGTGTGAAGCTAAAAATCTGACTACATGAGTGGGCTTAATAGTGATGTGAAAGTTTACTACTTTTAATCTTTTAATTAAAACTGCCCTACTGAGCGTTAGACCAGAGGTATTTGAACAGCAGGATCACATGCCAAGTCTTACAAAATTATGTTAAAGCTTAGGTACTGATGAACCTCAGTAATTTAGAGGTCAGATGTTATGTACCTTTAAAGAGAGGAAACCAAACCCAAAGCTATTATTATCAGTGGTTATGCCACACTTTAATTTACAGAAGATAAAACAAACCATAAGTTCAAATGATCAATATTGCAAAAAAAAGTTGAAAGTAGATCTGCACAAGAACTCTCTTCATAATAGCCATGCTGATTCTATTTCATTTTGTCTAACTTGACATAACTACCTTGAAATAATTTACGTTTTAAGATTGTTCACAGCTTTTAAAAAGTTCTGAATTTTACATCCTCGATATTTTAAAACCAAGAAATTTTACAGTTATGAACTATTAAGGCTCTGTATTGTCAAGTCTACTTAAAGTTAACATTTGATGAGATACAAAGATGATTTTTAATAGCAATTTATGTTCTGTACCCAAAATACTACTATTTCAGAAGTCCTCCAGCATTTTTCTGCTTTTCACAATTGTCCACAAGATGGAGCAGCTCAACTATGATAAACGGACAGATTTTGAAAAGGGGTGGTATGTGTGGGTGTGTGTATCGCATTTATATACTAGCATGATTCATATCATGTTCCTCTCTCTATTTTAACAGAAACACTGTCAGGATGCATCTCCACAGACCAATGTGGAATGCAAGATTTAAGAATGACACTGATATGTGCAAATCCAGTGCCTTTAATTTTTCTTTTGAGAAACAAAAAAGGGAAACTTAAAGAACTCAAAAAGATTTGAGTGAGTTATAGCAGAAACATGACAGAAGATCCTCCTTGTAGCTGAGCTGTCTCTGGTTCTGTGACAGAGAAGAAGAATATGCAACATATTTGAAGCTTAGCTTTAAATCCAGCACAAAGTCATAATTATGGCAGGGAGGGTGGGCATCTTTATAAATCCAAACTTATTTGATAAGTATAGTCCTTAGGGAAACTGAAACAATTTGCATAACAATGACAAAATATGCTGTTCAATGCATATTTTGTTCACGCTGGAAAAGTAATCTCTCAGGGACTGAAGATCAGAACTATAAAGAACAAAATAAAATGAAGCCACTAGACTGGCTCTCTACCTTCATTTAACAAGTTCATTCCATCCTGCTTCCCATCCTGTGAGTGACCTGGATCCAGAGAGGATTGAGAAAGACTAACTTCTGCTGAAAGTTGGTCCAGACTTTGAAAACTTTTCCTGCAAAGCAAGCAATATTTAATAGTAATACATTTAGAGATCTAACTAGGTATCTTCAAATTTCCTTAAATTTTTTTTCTAAAAAACCCCTAGGCAGTTAATGTTTCTTGCCTTAAACACTCTACTATTTTTTTTTCCTCAAACAGTTTTTTCCTGAAGCAATGATTTCCTTTTTAAAAAAAAAAAAAAAAAAATTAAAAAATAATCCAAAGGAAATAAATTGTTATGGTAAGTAAGAGAAACTGATTTTTTCTGCTAGCTGATCCTTGTACATTGTAACAGGTAATTCCAACAGGATCCATTTCAGAGTATGCTAAGGGAAATTCTGAGTTTCCCTGTTCCTCTAAAGATTAATCAAAATACTCAACTTACTCATCCCATTGTTGATTGTGCTTTCTATAGAGTAGAGTGTCCAAGGCAACAGCATTGACATCCAGAGCTCCTGGGGAAGGCCACTGATTGGTGAGGTGAGTAGTTAATTCTTGTCTTGATCTCAAGTCATTATTCTTTAGCACAGTTCTGTGAATACAAAAAGCAGCAAATCTCGGTCTATTAAATGCAGTTCCTTAAGGTACAGAAAGAAAAACCATAGGACAAATAGTCCTGACCAAGCTGATGTTCTACTTCGAATGACTAACAGATTGCAATTGTCATAAAGCATCTTAAACTGTTCATTTTTTCTAGGGGAAGCAACTTAGGAACCTATTGAGAAGTATTTAGGAATAGAAAAATGATGAAATTAGAATCTTTCTGCAAAAGCAGTAAAAAACAACTGCATTCTAGATTCTTTCTGTGAGCACAATAGTAATTAACAGGCCAACTATTTTGCAACCCAACTATGGGAATGTGATGTTCTTTCCACCCTCCAATTTTTATTTTTTTTTTTTTTTTCCCCCAGCTTGAACGCATTCTCCTTCCCCCTTCCCCAATACTTTTACAGAATGAACTAAAAACCAGACATGTTAATTCCATTATATGCTTCCAGGTAACATGTAACACAGTTACTCTCTTTTCTACTACCTTACAGTTTCTAGTAATTTATGTTTTTGAATTACAGACAATGTGTTAACTGAGTACCTTACATGTTCGCATTAGTTTTGACTCATATTCTCATGAAGCAGATCAGTTTTCTAAAATTCTGGAAATGAGGAAGCTAATATGCCACTATTGGAAATCATCTGCCCAAAATTGTACAGAAGTAAGGAAGGAAAGTACATGGCTCTCCAGACTCCAACACAAGATCAGCCTTTTTCCAGTAGTACAAGGCAACATCCAACCTACCCTTACACTGCTGTAGAATAACTATAGAAACAAAAGCAATATTGCTTGTTAACCCACAAATCCTCCAATCCACGAAATACTAGCCAATAGTAAAATGCTGCTTTACAATGTTTGACTACCTGTGGCCTAAAGCAAATAGCTAATGTTACATATTGCCATACTGAACGTACTTGAGAGTTCAAAGCCAAATGCCACGCTGTTATCCGAAATGCCAAACTGCATAGCATGTTAAATAACTATTCATGGTGCATATACATTTATGTGAATTAACACACAACACTGTCAACATGTCTATGTTTACAATGCAGTTTTTATTCTGGTGGTATCTGAGCTGTTTAAACATGAACCTCGGTAAGGGCACATAACACCACCCAGAGTCAAAATTTCACACAAAACAAGGTAAGACAATAGCAAGTTCAGTGAGGAATTCTTAGTAGCTGAGTTTGAGAGAGGAGACAGATGCACAGCTATTTTGCAAGAAAAGGTGGTGAAGCACCACAGTGAACAAAACTACTTTCAAGAAATTTCTGTCAAGTTGACAAATTGCCCCAGTGTTTGTGCAAGTAACCAATCAACTTTTCTACCTGGGGATCTCCCCCCTCATCCTCCTCTCTAAGGGTTTTATAGGAATAACCACTTTGATAACCCAAATAACCTCAGTAATTTCAAGTATCTTGTATGTTATTCACTTCCCCATGTCATTCCCCTAATCCCGTGGGGTTCATGGCGCATTAAACAGGTCTGTTAAAGGCTTGTTATTTGAGGAAACTGAAACACTGACCTAGCAAGTTCTTGTGAGGTTAGGCAGTTGCACTACATCACTATGCACACAGTAACTAAATGCAAATTCATACACATATAACACATATGTGTAAATTCCCATTTGGACAGCTCCTGAATGTTATCACCACACAACTCAGCAATGGTGAGTTGTGTGGTGATAAGTTGTAAGTGTTCTTAGTAAATAAACATGCTGAGCAAAGACAACAAAACCACACACCTACAGACAAGTTGCTAATACTGAAATTTTGGCATTTTATATAGGTTTCTATAATGAGGCTTTTTTCACAAATCTTTATGCTATAGTAACCTGAAATTTCACCCTTTGTGTGGACAAAGAAATTCTGAAACAAAGCCTGGCCAAACTGCTCCGGGCATTTTAGCATAACAACATTTAAAGCCAGTTCCAGTAGATCACTACTTAAACCATTCCACCATGCTCAGGAAGAAAACCAGACATCAAGTAGGATATAGAAGTAACTATTCTCCTCTTAAAACTTTTATGCTTTTATTTTGTATCTTTAAAAATACATAAAAAATAATTTTGAATATATACAATCAGTCCAAACACAGTATTCAGTATATATATGAAATAATAGTATAGACAATAGGAAGTCAGACAAATATTCACAGCAGGTGTTGGTAATTACCACCTATTTTTTCAGCCTTGTAATTTAGCTGTTTGCTTTCTTGCAGACATTTTTAAAGTATCATGAGATTCCACTGCAGCCAAGACTTATTGAAGGCACTGCTTGCAAACAGCAATTCTTTCAAGATAAAGAAAGGCAGTATCAATTTATGCATATTAATGTATTTTAAGAGTCAAAGTATTAAACTGCACAGAATAATAGAATTATAGAATCATTTAGGTTGGAAAAGATACTCAAGATCATTGAGTCCAACTCTCAACCTACTTGGCACTGCCAAATCCACCACTAAACCATGTCCCAAAGTGCCACGTCTACACAGCATACAGCATCCTCAAACTCTTTAATTACCATGAGGCAAGTATGATCCTGGTACAAATATTCAAAAAAGGAAAAAGGAAAAGAAAAAGAGACAAAAGTGTTTACTGTAGAAAGGAGTTAAAAAGGAAGACAATATGATCAAGTCTTAATGAAAAAAAGCATACAAATTTCAAAACACTCAATGTGAAAAAATGCTGCTCAAGATTATTGAGTCCTCTCCTGCTCTTGGTCAGACAAGAGGACCTCTTTCTAGCAGCTACAAGCTCTCAAAAGACAACAATTTATTTTATCCAAGGCAGATTGACTTTCTACAGTAGCACTCATTCCTCAGAATGCAAACACTGTTATTCAACTATCGTCCAACTCTAGGCTGCAATACTGCAGGGTTTGAAGTAGGACTTTTCTTAATTGTCACGATAAGTACAATGAAGATTATGAGCTTTCCTCTATGTTTACTGTCAAGCTGTTCAACTGGAAGAAGCATATTACTATTGAAACTTATTTATCTGCTAGTATAGCAAAAATAAGTTTGGTATATAGAAGCTTTCACAGAAAAATTTAGAATAGTCTTAATAGATTAAAAGTGAGAAATGGAGAACTGGTGGAGAGATACAAATGACATAAGGATATTTGTGAAATTTACAAGTTTCACAAAATATTTAAGAATAAAATGTAAAATTAGTATTTTCTGTTATTTACACAGACATTAAAAAAAAGTAACTACTGAACTCTTTTGGCCTTGACTGGGAAGTATTTCAAAAGTGTTATCAAAAGTTCACATAAAAGTAATGTAATATATAAGCTTCTGTATAAAATGGTGGTCTGAAGTAAAACATACTGAACTGGAATGGCCTATGTACAAACAGATTTTATTCCATTGCTTCTCTTTCCCAAGAACAAACCACTGGTGAGAAACATCAGCTGAAAACCAGAATGACCTGAACATCTGTAGACCAAGGCTCAAAGCCTAGATTTTCTGAAGGACATTATCTCATAACTTATATGGAACAAAATCCATAATATGTCATAAGAATAACATTGAAGATCACAAATATGCAGTTCTATTTTAAAATAAAATTCAGTAAAATATTGTTCTATTGGTTTTGTAGCTGAGATAATTTAAGGATGATGCAAGATAGGGTTTGTAGACAATACGTTAAACCATTTAATACAGGAGGAAAAGCAAGGACATTCCAAAAAGGGAAGAAGAAAAGTAAGAGAGACAAAATTGTTCACTACAGAGACAAGTGAAAAAAAAGAAGTAAATACAATTGAAAACAAGCAGACAAGCATATACAATAAGCTGTTAACTCTTTTTCTTCAGACTGGAAATAGAAAACTTTGAAGCCAAAAAGAAGTTAAAAACAATGGCTTCTAAATGTAATAACCTCGGGAAGATAGTTGTTATACGGATAATATATAGTGGATCTTAGTAAGGGACTATATGATTATTTTTTTGAATGAAAGAAAGGCAGTGTGTGAGATGTGGCTGAACCGGGTATCCTGGACTAACACAGTGAGACTGCAGAGTGCAGAAAGCTTTGTGGAGAGTAGGGAGAATATGTAAGAATTTATTATGAGAGCAGGGGGCTTAAACTGATTTATGATATATCACCTAATCTAGGCATGAAAAAATTCTTGGTTGTCTCCTCCTCTCAGCATCTGTGACCTGAGCACTCCTCACCCCAACATTTTATAAGGTTTCTTCATATCATGTTTAAAGTTCTGAAAAAGATAACAAAAAAATCAAGAAATACTGAAGAGATAGCAGGCAGAGAGAGAATATTTCTCATTCCTTTGGAAGTAATTGCTGAATTGCTATTTTCATACTGAGAAATGGTGAGGCAAACCCAGCAAAATGCTTCTTGAGATTTATTACAGGAGAGAGGCACTGGTAATGCTGGAGACAGAACGTATTTTCAAAAAATTGCTTTAAAATTATCAAATATGCTTTGTATTACTTCACAGCATAGATTTTTCCATAATGCACATGTAGAAGTAGAGAAGTAGAATATACACAGTCTCACCATGTTAGCCCAGGATACATTGTTGAAGTTATGACATTTAAGTCATGGTTTAGTTTGTTTTTTTTTTAATGTCTTAAAAAAGAAAAACTCCATACAAATTCAAAATACTACTACAGCTAATAACTTGCTAGGAAAAGCAAGCAGCAAAAGAGAGGAGAACAACATCTTGATACCAGAATACGTTGTTAAAAACTAACAAATATTTGGCTCACATTGATATTTTTTGTTCTCTACATCAGGAACCGCTATTTAAATTAAGCTCCTCTTAGAAAACAAAGAAAAGTGTTCAGTAAAAATATCCTGTTAATGAATTCCTGCCTACTACAAAAGAATACTGATGATTCATTAACTAATCAACACTAACATACTCCCAAGTTAGGAATAAGTGTCTGCACTTACAGTGCAGATACATACGCTCCCTCCAGGTCTGTAAATTTACTTCCTTTTGTTCAAGAATAACAGC